CCGTTGCTGAAAGGGGTAATCGAACAACTAGTGAAAAAGCCCGAGCTCTTTTGAAACAAGCAAATTTGCCAGCTTCTTTTTGGGCGGAGGCGGTTACAACCGCAGTGTTTCTTGAGAATATTACTCCTATGGAGAAACATTCTAATAAAACTCCTTATGAACTTTGGCATGGAAGGTCATTTAATTATTCACGCCTTCATCCATTTGGTTGTCGTTGTTATGTTTTAATCCCAAAACACTTACGAGACGGCAAATTTGGAGATACAACTGCCAAAGGAATACTTTTGGGTTTTCAAGTTGTGATTCATAATTTCCGAGTTTGATTAGATAATGGATCCATTATCTACAGTCATGATGTAACCTTTAATGACGAAATATTTCCAGGAGTATCAGAATCTGACGATGAAGGGTCATTCATAGTAGAGGATGAAACGGACGTCAATGATGTAGTTCAAGATTCATCAGATCTATTGATTCAATCTCAAACGCCTCCAAATTCTCCTCAAGTTCCTCCAACCCCTTTTAACTCTCCTGAACAACAGCTTCCGCAACAACAGTTACTTTGTCAAACTGTACCTGCCCCAAGACCTCCTCAACAGCTTGTCCGTCGAACGAATCCACAACCTGTTCCTATTGCTGGTTACGAATCAGATGGAGACCTAATCATGTGGCATCCTTTACCTTCTCCGCCTGCACCGTCTGTCCCTGTCAAACATTCTTGGGATTGGCAACCCGCTTCAGTTCCTGCTTCACATGACATCTCAAGTTCTATAGATCAAAGTAACATTCTACCAGAAGGATCTAAACGTCATAGAGTTCAAATGGCTTGACGAGAACAACGTCATCGGATTGCATCAGCTCGACGTATTCAACGTGCGCGCTCGGCTCGTCTATCCAACGCTCCCTTTCCTAATACTCTGAAGGAAGCCTTAAGTCGTGAAGATGCTGCTGATTGGCTAGGTGCTATTAAATCTGAGCTTAAGGGTATGGAAGATAGGAAAGTGTGGGATATAGTCGATTTACCTAATGGCGCTCATGCTATAGGTACTACATGGGTCTTCAAAAAGAAATTTGGTGCTGAAGGTGAACTCATTAAGTATAAAGCGCGCTTATGTGCTCAGGGTTTCTCTCAAAGACCTGAAGACTTTGGTGACACCTTTGCTCCAACAGGCCGGCTCTTATCGTTGCAAGCGTTAATGAACATAGCGGCAGTTGAAGATCTGGATATTCATGTGATGGATGTTAAATTAGCCTTTCTGAATGGCATACCAAAAGAAACCATTTACCTCCGAATTCCAAAAGGTTCAGATATTCCAGGAACGTCTCAAAACTCAGTTTTACGTCTTAATAAATCAATATACGGCTTAAAACAGTCACCTAGATGTTGGCATGATGTGATTAAAGCGTTCTTCTTACGTATCAAGCTCAAACAAACTCCATCAGATCCTTGCGTATTTGTGTCGATTGATCCTACCTGGAAATGCTACGTTCATCTACATGTCGACGATATGACAATAGCTAGCAATGATGTTAAACACTTTAAGGATTTAATTAATCAAAACTTTGACATGGAAGATTTAGGAGAGGCCAAGTTCATTTTGGGCATGAAAGTTACACGTGATCGAAAAGCCCGTACAATTTCTCTTTCTCAACCTCAGTATGTAGGCAATTTACTTGAAGAATACGATATGTGTGACTCGAATCCGGTAGGCAGTCCCATGATTGATAATTCACATTTGGTGCCGGGATCTGAAGAAAGTCGTCAGGAGCTTATTGATTCAGGTGAAGATTACAGACATGCGGTTGGCATGCTGATGTATTTGTCTTTGGCAACAAGACCAGATCTTGCGTTCGACGTTTCTCAATTGTCTCAACATTTTGAAAAACCGGATATGGTTCACTGGAGTGCCTTCAAAAGGGTTTTACGTTATTTAAAAGGTACTCAATACCATGGTTTGGTTTTAGGTGGGAACAATATCGACATACAAACTTATAGTGACTCTGACTTTGCAGGATGTCCGTACACTAGGTGTTCAACTACAGGAATGTTATCTCAAATAGGTATGGGGTGCGTCAACTGGAGAGCTAAAAAGCAGGATAGTGTTGCGGCTTCATCTACTGAAGCGGAGTATTGTTCTATGTATGAAGGTGGTCAAGATTTAAGATGGTTAACTCAGTTCATGAAAGATATTAATAAACCGTTAACGGCTACTCCTATGTTACTAGCTGACAACCAAGGTGCTATTGCTTTGTCTAGAAATGCTCAATTCCAAAATAGAACAAGACATGTGGATGTCAAGTATCACTGGATTCGTGAACATGTGGAAAAGGAACGTTTCAAGGTTAAATATATACCAACTGCTGATATGTTAGCTGATATGTTTACTAAATCTTTACCACCTTATAAACACAAGGATTTTTGCAAAAGGATAAATCTTTTAGATTTAGAAAACCGGGGAGGGAATTGAAGTATAAGAGTCTTCTATTATTGTTTGGGTTATCTAATATCATAGTTGATCCTTTTTCTTATTCGTTTCTCATCTTATACTCATTACATCATATCTCATTTATGATATCATCTTGCTGTGTTATGATGTAACTTGTGACCGTACTCGAGAGTTTCTAATCGGTATAAATAGTCGTTGTCTTTCGCCTACTTTCTATTTTCTTCTTCACCGATTTCTACTCTTTCATTCGAGCAGGTTTGCTATTGCTTGCTCTATTGGTCACTAAGACTAATTGTCTTACTAGTTACTAACTAGTACTTTCCCTCAGCCTTATAGCCAACTCGCAATTCATTTCATCCTGAAAACTTGTGTGAGCTTTGTGACCATTGGCATAGGAGGCCATAAACACTTTGGAGGACCAACTCTGAGGTTGTCACCTAGACACTCAACTCAAATGATCTTGTCCGGCTGGTATGTGAAAATGGGCCAAACTTTTCCAGGTTGTAGGGATCTCAAAGAAAAAAGGGCACACTGAAGTATTGACTGAAGCTGTCTGTTGATATGCCTGTTGAAATGCTGCGATGTAAGCCACAGAATGTTCAATGCAAGGAATCAGTTGCATTAAATCTTCAAGTGATGCTTAGCATTGTTATAAATTCCAATTGGATTGTTGAGGATTGGGTGTGCCCAAATTGAATGATTCAAGCTGTGGCAACAAGGGTGCAGAGTGGTCTACAGGGGCCGTGACTTTTTGCAATACTTCCACAACTACATTGAGCCTCAAGTTGAAGTTATTTGTATTGGTTGCAGTCCCTTTGGCTACCCTGAGTGCTTTTCCAAGCCAAGTCACCAAGAGATGTATAAGGTATCATAGCCAGTGCATAGGAGGTCTGGAAGCTGGGATTTTGGTGGTGTTTTGTCCAGCGCAGACAAGATGTAGGTAGACAGGGGGATTGGAAGGGTGTCCCAAAGGGACAGTTGGAAAAACAAACTCCTTACAGAAAAACTTGTAGAAAGGGTCATGAAGATCTTGTGAAATTTGGTGTGGAGTCAAATTGGGGTGTGGAAGGTTGTAGATTTTATTGGAAATATTGTGACAAGTGAGCTCAATATGTGTCTTGTAAGGCTGAGGAGGAGAAGGGGTGTTTTGCACAGGAAGATGGGCAAGGGGAAAGGGAAATTGGGGAGCTGGAGTGCAAGAGGCTGATTGCTCAAACGCAGCAATTGCATTTCTTGAACCCCCAATGCCCTTTTGATTGGCTGCCCTCAAAAGATTGGAGCAAGGTGTGTATTGTGATCATCCCAATTCCTTGTGTTGTATGATGGATATACATTGACTGATGAATTGGAAGCGTGTTTTTTATTTTTATCTATTTCTGATGAAGCACAATCAATTCTTCCATTCAAAATCTATTTCGTCAACACCAAGTGATGTTGAGTCGGCCCTTGATAAAAGCTAGGAGGACATTTAATTCGATCAACCTTGAGGGAAGTTTCTCAACACACTTTAATTTGATCTTTTCTGAATCTAAAGACATTCTCGAACTTCTGTGTCCACTCGAGTATATACTATAGCACCTCCCTAGGCAAACTTAACAAAGTCCTACTCGTTTTGAGCTGTACTGGCCATGGGACTTTGTCAAGTTTGCTCCCTAGGCATCTCGCTACTAATCCCTTATCACTTGATGTCAAACTCACAGATCAAAAAAGTAGAATCTGAAACAAAGAGGATACTTTTTTTGAGAGTATCTGGCTCAAGTTTAAATTAGCCTCACTAGCCTACAATCAAAGAGGGTACTTATGATATCTAAGACTCCACAAGATCAAACGAGCGTTTTTGGCCTCATACCAAACAACCAGCTTCCGCGATGTTTAGATTACCACAGTCTAAGTATTATGATCAAGGAAGTGGGATTTGAACGTCTCTAATGCGGGTAGGAGAAAAGACCTATAGGAGAAGTTCAAACGAAGCATATTTACATATGTAGATGACTCGCCTCAAGGGAATTTTCAGGAGGTGGGTGAGGCCGGAAGGCGACACTAGGATATTGGAATTTTAGCGTGTCTGAGAAAAACACAGCAAGTATGGACTCGAAACCGCTCAAAATCATTTTAGGAACCCCTTAATCCAATTTGGTGCGGTATCGTCGGCATCGCGGTACAAGACCAGGTATCAGTTTTAAAAGGGCGGAAACTTTATTAACGTGAGCAAAATTTTGTCAGTATATAAAGGTGATGGTTGGTCACTCCAGAGTCGTCCCTCAATCATCTGCCCAGCAACTTTGGAATCACGGGAAAAATTTTCAGGTTGATATTTCCTCTTTGCTTGTTCTTCGCGTCTGCTATCTACCAACACTTCTTTGACCCCCGGTCTTTGATATCTTTCAGGTGTGGTTATAAACCTTTTACGCAGTTCTTTCTACAACCTGTTTAACCCGCATATTTCCTTGGAAATCAAAGTGAGTGAAAAATAGTCTTCATCATTCAAATTACTTCTCAAGACACATTCAAAGCTGACAATGTTAACTTGCACCAAACCAATCTCTTCAGACCATGAATAGATCAATCAAATTTTGCGCAATTCGTTTTCTACTCTTCCTAGCATGGTTTGGCATTGCTACATGTGTGAGGACATTCACGCCAACATATGTTGAATTATTAAACGGAGAAACAGATTGGTCCGATAACAGCAAGTTGAAAATCGTGTGGGACACTTATCATGATTACCCCCAGTTTCAATACATTGGAAGATCATCTCTTATGACCTGCGACATATCAATCCTTAATAAAGACGGCGAATACGAGCACTTGCTAGTTGCTTCACGCAAAGATCACTACGACACACTGAACCCCATCAACGTCCAAGAAAGACATCTCAGAATGAAAAGCATGAAGGAATATGTGAAATTGAAGCTCGTATGGACTGACCATACGGAGCTCCCGGCTTCTTCAAGTCGCTGAACTTGATTTTCTTCCATTAAATTTTCTACTAGTAATCCTAAACATCTATACGCTACTTATTCACCTATTCCAGACATGATAATTTCAATCTAATCTCTATTTTCGCGTACATAGTTCTTTCATCACATTTTCTTTGATTAAGATCCTGTTTATGGCTATATCTATCAGCTACAATCACATAGCCCAGTTCTTATTACTTCCTCTAAATGTCATTTCACTCTTGAAACATCTGAATGGAATCAACTTTTTGCAGAGGTCGATTGTCACAACGACGAGTGAGATTTCCAGAGAGTAGAGGTGGTGATCAAATTAGAAACTTCCTTTCATGTCAACAATAGTAAGATCAAACCGAGAAGACAATGAAGATATTGCCTGGCCTGCCAAAAAAAGCAAAAGAATTTTGGACAACAGGATAAGGCCAAGATCTAGAGATAAGGGGTGATTGATTTAGTAGGTACTCATTGCGTTCGCCAGTAGGTGAAGTCTGGAGCGTGTCAAAGAGTTCGTGCTCCTGATACGGCGAAGGCTTGAAGAGAAAGATTTTGATGAGGTTGAGTAGAGATAGGATTCTCGAGGAGCCAGAATATTCGGCGCTGATTGACAATTGATTGCTTGAAGGGCGAGCACTTCGCACAACTTGAACCGTCATTCAAACCTGTGAAGACTAGCTGACACACCTATGTTGACGCGAATTGGGGATGAGAATTCTCAAGCCCAATACATTTTTATCACGTTATTCCTGAATTACCTTATTGCGTGCACACACGCGAAATGTTTGGGGAGGACGAGCAGGCAAACAGTATGGTTACGGAATTTAGTGGAGGAAACCGTAGGAGAAATGGGTGAGGTCATGTTTTGCGACAACACATCAGCTATGCACGTAGCAAAGGACAATTCTTCAAATCAACGGACTCGACACACGGGATTTGGATAGATTATTACATCAAACAAGTTTATGAAGGGATATTACATTGGGACGTCTGGGAGAATAAAAGAGCGCACGTTTTACTAAACCGGCCTAACCTTTATGATCAGACACAGCAAGAAAGTCGATAGGTCTCATCAGAAATTGAGTTTGTTAGCATTCTTTTTCTTTTCTCGTCATTTTTTGTTGTGAGTGCTTAAATATCTGTGGGGATACTCATGGGTGGGTGTTGTGACCTGGGTCCAGGAGGTCCAGGAGTGTCAAAATGCACAAGCCCCATGCACACAACCTGATCACAGCCGTTCACCCCTTTGAAAAGGCTTTCTCGCTTCCTCAACAGAATCCAACTCCTTAAATACTTTATCATTTCTTGCTCTTCAGCGACAGAAACTTCTTGTGTATTTGAGCCCAATTGTTGGCACTTTGTCAATTACTTAAGAATATGGGGCACTTCACTATTTCGCTGTTTGATTTTGTATCTTCTTGTATCAATTGAAATCAAAACCACGAAACAATAAAACCAACCCTGAAACAAACAAGCCACTTGTGTTTTGAATCCTTGCAAGATTGAAATTGGTCTCACTATATAGACTTTGATCAAAGAGGATCGTAAACCTGACATGCAATATCTTTAACAAGATCAAACAACGCTCGGGGCCTCAAGCCCACATATTCAGCTTCCGCGGTATCTACATTAGGACAAGCGAGGTTTGATTAGGGAGGGGTGGGGTGGTACGGTCTAGCGAGAGGACTTGTGGTTTGGTAAGGGAGTAAGGTTTAAATTAAAAGATCGATAGGAGAAGCTCAAGCTAAACACAGATACATAGATTGCTCGTCGAAAAAAATCCAAGGAGAACAGTGATGCAACACTAGGCTGAATAATCGTGATTTCAATGTGTTGTAAGAAAAACATAGTACAAAGTATGGACTCGAAACCGCTCAAAATCATTCTAGGAATAGTGCGGTAATAGTATCTTCGGCATCACGGTACAAGACCAAGGGTCAATCGTAAAATGGCGGAAAACTTTCATAAGGAAACGTTCGTCATTATATGTGCTGATTGTTGGTCACTCCAGAATCGCCCCTCAATCATCTGCTGGGTTACTTGGGATTCTTACAAAGCAGCGAATCTTTCAGGTCAGTATTTCCTCTTGTGTTGTTCTTCGCGTCTGCTATCTACGGACACTTCTTTGACCTCCCGTTTCGGATATCTATCAGATTAGTTTAAAAACATTTTATAGCCTTTCAAAGCCCTAGTACTTTATATAACCTGTTTGATCCGCATGCGGCATAGATCCTTCGGAAATATAGTGAGTGATATTTTTCATTATTCAATCTCCTTCTCAAAATAAACTTGAAGCTGACCTTGTTAACTTTTACAATACGAATCTCTATCAGGTCATGAATGGCAACTCTTTCACACTTCGAATTCTGCTCTTTCTAGTATGGTTTGGAATTTCTACTTGTGCGACATTGGTTGATTTACTCGATGGAACAGAAAATTATTCGATTGATGGAAAGTTGAAGTTCAGATGGACACGACGATATCCCGAGTTTCAATACTTTGGAAAATCATCCCTTATGAGCTGTCAATTATCAATCATGGGAGACGCAAATGAGTATGATGCATTGATAACTATCTCAAAGGACATTCATGGCTCAGGATGGAACACACTCGAAATTGAAGATCATCATCGCAGCATCCAAGGTAGCCATTTGTGTGTGAAATTACAGGCCGAATGGATTGACCATACCCAGCTTCCAACTTCGTAAACTCGGTCAACTTAGTTGTCTTCCATTACCTTTTCTACTATTGATTCATTTCAGCCATAATGATTCCAACCTAATCTCTATTTTCGCATACATATCTCTTTCATCACATTTTACTTGAATAACATCCTGTTTGGGTCATAATTTGTCAGCTGTAATTAGCTAGCCCAATGCTTATTACTTCCTCCAACTCTCATTTCACTCTTCAAACATCTGAATAGAATCAACTTTTGCAGAGGTGAATTATCTCAACAACGAATGAAGTTTTCAAAGAGTAGTGATGGCAATCAAATTTAAAAGTACAATCTATGTTAACGATAGTAAGTTCAAACTGAAAAGATAATGAAGATATTGCTTGGCCTGCCAAAAAAAAAGCAAGAAATGTTTGTACAATGTGACAAGGCCGAATTCTAGAGATAAGGAGTAATCGATTTTTCTAAGTTGAATACAACAAAACCAAGATGATCTATTATTAAAACAAGCACGTTGTAGCTGTGCATATCATAGATGTATATGTTGGGAGATTATAATGTCCAGCTGAACTTGAAGCGGTTGAGAAACAAAGCGCAATCTTCGGTGATTTGCATTCTGGTGTGGTGTTACTTTTGAAGACTTGCTAGCATGTATTATTATCGATAGGCCAATCTTACTGGGCAAGAAAACAGATTTTGAAACCAAAGAAAGAAAAGGACACGAGGAAATAAAATCTTCATGCCCAACGTTTGAGAACTGTCGTATATAAACTGGGTTAGTCTTCATAAAACAGGTGACCAAGACCTTACGGAAGGTCACATAGGACTTGACAAAGTTGACATTTCACTTACGCTTGGAGCATGCATATTTAGCACTCTTCAGTGGTCCAGCAGAAATGATACCCTTGAGAGATTGATTGAAAGCAGGTGGCCCGACGGTCAATGTCAAAGCCCGTTTCAATGATTCGTCAAAACCGTTGTCCGTGACCATTTTCACCAAAAGACTCATCTCATCACTGGAGGTCAATTTTTCTTCTTCATTGATAAGAGCAGATCCATCAGCAGCTTTTGCCAACTTCAAATTCCATTGTCGATCATAAACTGTTTCAATCTTCTCTTTAAGACATCGAGGTAGTTTTTTCAAAAGTTCAGCTCGGCCTCTAGGACTCATGTCCTGTTGTATCTTAGGATCCCTTGCTGTCGAGCTTTCACCAGCGAAAGAAACGTTATTGAATGATGCTTGAAATAAAGGACGATATAGGATCCTGAATTGATCAATTTGCCGCTGTACAATATTCTCAATCTTCCGAGGATTTTCTCCCCACTTCATTCGAAAGTCGCCCGTATAGCTCAGGCTAGTGATTTTCATATAAAGCTGTTGTTCCGTAAAGTTTTCGGGTAACATCAAGAGTGCAGTGCGGAGGGCTGATGCCAAATTGACTTGCTGTGCCAACCGAATTCGGGCATCATCTCGAAGAACGTAGACCGGTTTCTGCATTCGGCCAGAGACATATAAAGTATTCCAATCCAACAGGTCACTGCAGAGTGTATCCACTGAGATAACCCCGTATTTGATCAACTGTAATATCAAATGAAGAATTCAGTGTTTTGTGTGTGATGAACATGAGTAGATATTAATTTCCTTACCTTTCCATTGACTTCATTTTCTACGTTGAACCAAACACCAGCCCCCGGACCCTTCTCCTGCAACCAACTGATGGGTGCACTTCCTAACCACCTCAGAGGAAGTGAATAATGCTTAGGATTTTGTTGTAGGTTGATGCTGTGCCAATGACTTGGATGTGATACGGCGAAAACAAAATCCAACATTGGGGTCTGTTTCTTGAGATCATAGGACTTTTGAGGAAAAACTCCAGATCCATAGCCGATCGCGTAACGTATTGGTGCTTTGAAAGACTGGATTATATTACTCAATTCCTCTGAAACCTTTTGAGTTGGTTCATTCCGCTGTATTTTCGTCAGGCGCTCGGGAATTTGGATCGGCAGGCTTCTAAGAACGGTTTGTGTATCCGAGTGATTGATCTTGTCCGCTTGCTTCCTTGATCCCGGAACTTGTTCCAGAGTACGATAGCCGGCATTAGATCTGAATCGGGAAGGAACTAAAGAATGAGGTAATGGACCACTTGATTGGCTAGGTTCAGAGTGAAGACCAGAAGACACCTTTCGAATCAATACCCCAGGTCTTATTCGGAAAGCGGCCCTCGAAACACAGCCTTGGTGGTGTGGAGAAAGTAAAGCCGGACGATACATTGTAAGCTTGAGATTCAGAAGAGGCTTGGAAGGTTGAAGGTGGTTTTAGAGGAGTTTTAAGTTGATTAAAGAAAGGATTGGGTAATGTTGCTGAGCTACTGGGAATGTTGATAGGAATAGTTGAAGTTGATTGAATGAACATCTTTTTTTCTGCTGAGAACCTTGAACGAGTCATAGTGACCGATCAAGTCTTCATGGCACGTGTCGGTGCTGGGTGATAGGACCCACTGCATGCCAGGGTGCGGAAAGCTATTTGAGATCCGCCACCTGCATGCCATAATACAAGAGCCACGGAGTCAGAGACTCTACACATCAGCAATCAGCATTCACAAACAGCGGACTATGGAGACGTCATATTTGGAGGATAGTAGCTGCTCAATTATTCAACATTCAATATCAAAGAAGCAATCTCCTAAATCATAAAGTCAATGTTTCTTGAGTTGTTAAGGCGTGCACCGGGAGTTACACCGCACCCATGTGCAATGAGGTGCGGCTTTGGTGCGTGAGGATGCAAAAAAGTGCCCAGTTTCTTTCCTTCACCATACACCCAGAATGTACGATGTCTTTATTTGCTGGTCTGGGACCTGATGTGAAAGATCATAAAGATATGTTCAGCTTTGTTGAGTATATTTCTTAATGTAGATATTGGAAACATAAGAACACATGATGGTGCTGCATTGAATTTGAAGTCTAGTTTCAAAGGTGATATACCTGTGTGTTACCGATAAGCCATTGGGCTCTACCCATAAAAAATCTAACCGTGAACTTCCCTACATAACCCAGCAAGCCACACTTCTGTCCTTTCCTGGTCCATTCCTCAGTCATGAGATATTATCATGTCATTGATTTGTACCACCAAGTAAAAGTTTCATCAATTTGTATGCCTCAATTTGTAATAATGGTTATCTTTTCTCTTTGTCACTACTATACATTCATTAATCAATTAAGCTTTGATGATTAATGAGAAATCTGCTGAAAAAGATTGTAGAGTAAGTGAAAATAATAACATTTGCATTTTTGGGGAATTGATAATAGGTCAACAAGAAAAAGGTATTAAGATCAAAAAAGAAAACTGATGTGGTATCATAGGGTTTTGAAGTTTCCTATGCTAGTTCTACATATGAACATTCGAGGTTCCAACTTCAGTGTACATGTACATACAGTCTATGAGATTTTTGTATGTACATACATAAATGCAAAACGACATTATCGCAATGAGGGTCAGTCGAAGATATTATCATACGGGCTAGCGATATAGTACAGTTTGGGGTACAATGATTGCAAAGTGGGTAGAGGGTAAAGGTAAGCAACTTTGAAAGATGATATTGCACTTGACCTGATCTTTGAAAATCATGTTGTGTATAATTGACCGATATCCTTCAAAATGATGATATTGCTTCTTTTTGCAGACCATGTTTGGGCTGGATGTTTCAAAAAATCATCTTTAGCCAACAGAAAGTGCGGGATTCTGAATCCAGCGAAGTCAGTGCACTCACAGTTCGATGACTAGCTTGATCTTTCATTTTTTGTAGTCCCACTTTCGCGCTGTCCCTGGCCCTGTTGGACCAAAGAAACGACCGAGATAAGCAACCGCGATATTCAAATCAACTCAATATATAATTATTCCACGTACCATTTGACGGTCCGTACAGCTTTGATTCTAGAGGGTCCAAGGCCATAGACCTCCTTTGATTCACCTTTCAATTCCTTTCTTCGTCTGAGAATGACGTCTGTTGAAGTAGGATCACGGGGAGGAGAAAATTTATTCGCCAGTGTTTTCGGGAGGAGAGATTCTTTCAACTCTAATGTTTTCCTTTTCAATCGCAAAAGCTTAGGGCTGATTCCACTGGTGTGAGTTGAAGTTTCTTCATCAAGATCGTCACCACTACTTGTCTCATCATCTGTCCAGTTCTCAGCCGCCTCATCGACATCCAAGATCTTTAAACGATGGTCACGCAACAAGTCATTCGCCAAGTCATGTGTCGATGGAGTGTCTTTGCCATTGTTGGGATTCGACGGAGTTTCTGGGCCGATCTGAGGTGATCCAGAGTTGGAAGAATTTGTGTCAGTGATAATTGAGTCATCTGAAAGTTGAGGAGCCTCCGGAGTTACGGGTCCATCATTGGTTTGTTCTACATCATATGTGTCGACAATGATGGGATGACGCATGCGATCTCCACTTGAAATTGTGCGTTGACAGGTCTGATAGACTTCCATGAGGCCAGGATCTGAGCTACCCAAAGCCCGATGAGCTTTAGAAATACCTGGAACGAAACGAAACGCGATATGCATTCGAGATGATTGTGAGCCGGTCATGCTAATCTCATCAAGATTTCTTTGGGTATCGTTCTCGTGCTCTTGCAGTTGTTGAGGAATAGAGGGCAGCAGAGAGCTCTTGACGCTTCTACGATCACCATCAACTTCGGTGCTGTGAGTCTGCTTACTCATCGACCCTAAAACTGAATCCGAATCATTTGACAGTGTACTGAATGCCTGAGGTAATTCCACTTTTCGGCGGGTCTGCTGATCGCTGTGAACCCTAGGTAATGATATGAGTTTTTCTGTGATGGTATCGCTGGTTTTTGATATTTCGACATCCAAGCAAACCATGTCGTCGTGTAGCACATCTGAAAGCCACACATGAATAGGCTTGGATACTGCGTGATCCCTGAGTGCCAATTTTCCTGTGGATGGTTTCATCAATTGAAGGGTGAGAGTGGTCTGCATTCTATTTCTGAATGCGACAAATAAATTGCCCCTTCAGAGTAAGTTTTTTGGACAAATATAATTGTCAGATGAACACTTACGTGACTGGAAGTTTCATCCTCGGTTTAAAAACCCATTGCACTTCGGCCGATTGTCCTGAAAGCAAGAAAAAGTAGATAAATCAGTCTTGTTCAAGTATTGGGTAGGCAATGACTCCAACCTTGACGAGTGACAGAAGCTTCGTCTGTCGGCTTGGAGCACTGGTTACTTTGTGAGTCGATCGTCATCTTCACGTAGAAATTTTCTGCTTCTAAGAGGGGTCCTACAATTGAGATTTTGAAAATCTCTATCACACCTATTGACCAACCGCAAAGTGCTAAAAGATCACAAGCATAAGTCACATTTGGCCTCAATGGAAGCAAGATAAACTGACTAACGTCTTTCTAACTTGATATCTACTGGCTGGAAAAGCACAGACGCCCGCATTTTACCTGACCCTAAAACAAACAAACCACATGCAACATGTCAACTTCGATACTGTGAAGTCCATGTGAAGGAGATGCGCCGGATTTACCATTTCCTCCTGTGAGTGTCCACCACTTCGTCAATTGATGCTGTTGACTCAGGAATTTGTTCAAGGGAACAGACACTATTCCGACAATTGAATCATGCTCCCTTGCGCGTACTTCCATGACGACAAGGTCTACTCGGGTCCGATCGAAATCTTCGACAAAGTGTTCTACGCCTATAATTGATGATAAATGGGGACTAGATGATTAGAGGAGGAACATTTGAATGGAAGTATGACGAGCTTGTCTTACCTGAATTCTGGTGAGTGGAAGGAAATTTGCAGGTCAGTTAAAATTGAAGGATAGAATCTTTGGGAGATGGATCAAATTACGAACGATGTAAGGATCCGAAGTCTGTTTTTTAACTCTGGTTTCGAAGATTCTCTGGTCGTTGATAAGTAAAAAACAATACGTCGAAGGTAGATTACGCTCATCCGATTCAAGTTTTCTACTATGATGTTGCAGTTGATTATGAGCACGGAAATGACGTGGATTTCGAATCTCTATCTGCGCCAGAGAGTGTATCTGGATAGAGATTATTCCAGATTTCGGCTCATTTAAGGATGTCACCTGATGAGAGGCGTTTCGTGAGTCAAGGGCTGATTACGTACATTGGAAAATATAAGGATAATGCGGCTAAGTAGGGCATTGGACTTACTAGCTCTGAATCGTCAGCACTGGACTCGGCGTCCATTGCATTCAGCAATAGTCCCGGATCGGAAGTGACGGTAGGGAGATCTTTTGGTATAGAATCCTCGTGAAACCCAAAGTAACCCACACTCCAAGAAAGTGAACCTTGAACAGTGTAACCAGGAAGTCTGGCTGTCAGCTCACTGTTGTGTGTTGTCATTGAGCCTCGGCTTTGCACTGCTGTTTGTAAATCGACCTCAACTTTGCCAAGAACGCTGTTTTGGATAGGGTTAATTCAGGTATATTCAAAGTCGTGGAACGAAACATACTTACTTATCTGAAGATATCCTGTCACTATGACATACTGTAAGACATAGTCTCTCTTTTTCTAATAGCTGATCAGGGGTGATGAGGACAAAAGCCATCTCTTCGAATATTGGATCAAGTGTTCTGAAATGTATAAGAGTCGAAAAGAGGGGTTTCGAAGCGGACTTCATGAAGGAGATGGACACATATGGATCGGACGTGTGGTTCAATATATCAGATACTTTGAGATTACTGGCGGAGTGTAAAGCAATTGCTATCACACCGACATGGCGTGGTCCTGTGAAAGAGATTAGTAAGATTGTGTCATATGCTTCTTTATCAAATTACAAAGGGATGGGACGTACTCATCAAAGCGTCATTTCCCAAAAGTATGCGAGACAGATCAAGGGTGTATGATGATGGTAAACAAAACTGGCCCAAAAGAACATCAACACTGGCCCGGATGAAATGTGATATCACTGGTAAGGACATCTGGAGCATCATATATGTAAGTCTGAGTTCAGTTCAAAGGTAACTCGAGGAACACATACGACATTGAATCCATGCATCGGTTTGGCTGTGATCTCGACTTGAGGTAAATGAGAGAACGAGAAGGTAGTCATCTGAACAAATGGTGGGACGGCTATCAACTGAACTCTTAGTTTGATCTTTCCATGAAGACCGTCAATCTGGACAAATACGGCTGTCATGCAGAGAGAAATTTGGTAAGCAGACGTGAGCCAGAGCGCATACATGAGACAATTCAAACTTACGCATTTCGCAACTGGCAATCTTCTGAACACCAATACCAAAGTATGCCACAAAGTGGGCACTGCTAGCTGGTTCTGCTGAATCATGTTTCCTTCGATACGTAAACTCTACTTCGAGGTTAATAAATTCACCTACAATTTTCGACGCCAGTGGATTCGAAGTGATTAATGAGAGAAAACAAGGGAAATCTTGAAAATGGCCACTAACCCGGTAAGTCTGATACCTTGATTTGATTTTTTACCCAAGGGTCTTCGGCATCGAGAGTCTTGAAGGCGACCAACCTGATCGAATTGCGGCCTTGATCCAATTCATCTACCCGCACCGTCGTCACGATTCCTGGCGCGAGTACCTTCAGAGTGTCTTCAAGCCTGAGGTCACGTAGTTGGATACGTCAATCTTTACATAGACGAGATCGCTGTGAAAAACTTACAGATCAATGACGGGTCGGAAGATGTCTGGTGATATCAATGGCCAGAGGCTCGCCAAGGCGCTATTGATCCATTCGACACTTTCTTCCCCTGGGTTGGGATTCGAAGGATCTGTCTATTGTGTCACGGTTACAAGGTTTACACATTATCAGGACACGAACTCTACTCAAGGATCAGCCTTGTGGGATTTAAAGGGAGCAGGGACATACAAGGAGCGCTTTCGATTTTTCTCGCTCAAAGACATATGCAAAATCTTCTTTGTGAGATTTCAGGGTATGACTCAACTGAAACGAGGCAATCCAGAGTACGATTAGGATCAGGAAGAAGTTTACTTTGAGTTGGACTATGAGTAATATGACTGCTGAGGAGACGAATAGCTGAATGCGGGCTTGATTGAGACATGTACGATAAAAGCGTTCAATGGATGTCGGATCAGATGGATTCAACGGGCGAGCTTCTTCGGGTTCATGACCTAGTGTGAGATCAATATCGGGGCTTGAAGTATTTGCAGGAGCCTCGTGGTCAGTTGTTGATGGCTCAGTCTGCTTTGATGAGGTTTTGAGGTCGTCTTGAGAAGGTGCGGGATTCATGATGTCGATGTGAAGTACACCGATGCGTCGTCGAGGTCAATTAGAGCTGAATGAAGGGTGGTCAAGGTGCCAAATTGAAGGTCGGATGGTGAAATGGATATGTGTTTTCTGAAATGTTTCTTGATCCTAAGCGAGAGAGAATGTGAGCGGATGAAGGTGCTTGATTGTGATTGCTAGATATTGATTGTCTTTAACTCGAAGACGTTAGACCAGCTTTCTGACTGAACGCTTCCAGGGCTTTGTGGTGGTTGCAATTTCCAATAGACTGCACAATGACTGCGAATCGAGTTACGCCAGTACCAGTCCGATGTAGATGGTCCTTTAGTCTTGAACCCTCTTGTGATCAAATTGCTGGTCATGAATTTCTGAAAGCTGAAATCAAGCATCAAGTATGATAGGTGCACTGCTTAATGACAAGAGGTTGATGGTTTGCTTAAGGATCATCACCACGGTGAAGAAGAATGATGACCAGGCCAGGCGGTGAGTGAAAACTAGGGAAACTTCACCTCAGGCGGAAGCTCTGACGTCATTCAATTGACCTTAGTATGATGACAATCTTTCATTTCGTTCCCTCTCTTACTTCAAAGAGAAGTGCATTCTCGATTGTTCGTAATCGACCTCTCCGATGAACTCAAAGAAAGCTAGATACTGTAGTCCTATCAGTCGCCTGGATCACGGAATCATTCCGAACGCATACATTCATAGGCATGCTACACTGAATGACATACTCACACATGCCTCGCAGTGGAATCATCACTGGAAAAACATTTACAGTCGTTTGCAAAAAGCTTGCCACAAATTCACCGCCAAATTGCTCCAGTTTTGCGGGCAAATTTCGGCAATCTTTTTGAAAACGACTGTATATACATGGAGCAAGTTCTCCTTACGGTTGTCAGAAAAATCCCGATCAATTATCCAGAAATATCTTTAGTGTGCCCCATTTACGATCTCTTCCCTTTTCCCACTTTCCCGGTCCGATACTAGCAGCCCCACGCCATTGTACGAAAAGACCAAGTTTCTTTCCTTCAGTTGTATCCCAAGTCCATTCGAGCCAAATTCCAGAACCCATTTTGAGTACATCTTGCCCACCTTTGCGTGATGGCTCTCCCAAGTTTTCAAGAAATTCTTTGCCTGTTGTTTGAGGGTATAACTTCAGCTGTGCGCCATCAGATGTGGTCTCGGACGATGCGGAGTCGGATGAGTTCGGGGTGAAACAGACGAGGATGGGGTAGCCACGGTATGGTGCGAAGATTGTCTTGAACCTTTGACCTCTATTATTCTGAATCGGTTTATGTGTGTCGGTGTTTACCGCGACCACCTCATCGTCATTCGTTGTGTGGTTTTCAATCTCAATTCCCACTAATCGCAATACATTATCAGATTGCGGTTTGGTTGAAGGTCGAAATTCCAAAGCGATTCCCAAGGTAGGATATGTATGGTAGACCGTCTTATCAGGATACGATTTTGTTATCGGGAGACATTTGCTTGCATCCAACCGCGTGGAGTCTGTGTTAACAGCAGAGACTAGATGGGCCAAAAACGATGATATGGCGTCGGAATCGGGTGAAGCTCCCAATAAGTTGAAAGGGTTGGTAAACTCATCAGGTGAGGCTTCGGACATCGGGAGAGATGGTTGAGATTGATGCTGACATCAGATCTCCGTGATATGTCAAACTTGAATTTTAGCGTTTAAACTACAAAGCCTAGGTTTTGACTAAGGGTACCTTAGCTCTGAGAGCATGTCAAAAACTGTTTGTCAAGAAGCACTTTCCACAATTGTCATCAAGATAATTCTGGATCAAGTGATTGACAAAAGCACTGTTGGGCTTGCATACGTGATCACTGATTTCTAGCAGGTGGCATTATGTTGGAACAATTCAAAACTTGGGCCCGGGGTATGTAGGGGTATGTATGCAAAGCCCATATCAACCATTCACAGCCCAAGTAAACTTGGATGCACTATCCTCTGAATATACACCACATAGATGAACCTCTTTCTGCGTTGCTCGTCCATCCAGAGTATCCACTGTCTGTAGTCATGTGGAAGATCGCCTTTACATTCTTCAAAATGTCATTTTTCACCCATTCGTGCAAGGGCAAAATTGCCCATACGTCAAGGACACATTTAGCATGGTGACTGTTCCCGCCTCACCTGATGCTGATGACGATATGGCCAAATAGATGGTTAGAGTTTAAATTTCCACATTGTATGTGCTATGTAAATAAATGGCTGGCTGAGGTTCAGGATACAGGATTTGTAACATCTTATAGCCGATAACATGTCCATGGGCCGAGATAAAGTATACTTGAATGGATATCGAGCGTACCTCGTAATGTAGTCGGTCGACCAGAAGTCTAGAGAGTGTGAAACGATTATGTCTGCGGTGCGATGCTGGAAGGATCCGGCGAGGGTAGATGGTGTTTCCAAAACAAGTGTAGAAATGAAGTTCTGATGAACATATGGATTGGACCTTGCCAGCTTGTGACCTTTTCCTACCGCGAGGATGATTCTAGAATTGGTTGACGTAGATGGAACTTTAGAAACAAAGTTTCCTAAACCAATGTTATGACAGTGCAATGGTGGCGGGTTAATTAAGATAAACATTCTGTGGAAGTGCGTCAGTGGAGTTGAAGAATTAAGATCGGTCCATTAAAGAGAGAGTCAGATTGTAGAACCAACCTGTCAGCTTCGCAAGTTTCTCAGAGGTGCGAGGCATACACTTGAAGACCCACTTCATAGCCAAATGAGACAGACTTCTCAAGTCTCGAAGCCAGCGCCAAAGCTTCACTGTCAGAGGCCTTAGACTCGGATGACGCAAAAACATCGAACAACGGCTGGACAAACGAGGTGGGAGTTGACATCGGTATGGCAGACGGGTTCTGTGTATCGAGGTCGGCCCATCGCTCAGAAGAGGGAGGGCTTGAGCCGTAGTATCGAGACTGGAGATGAGGGGATGAGTAATTGTAATCGTATCGAGCCCAATATCTTTCGCGCTCTCGTTCTCGCTCCTCGGACGAGGTGGTAGAGGATGATCCAACAAAGGCAGGGTGGGATTGAGATGACCTTTGAGTGGACACCATTTTGGATGGGCTGGTAGGTCGAGTCGGACTAGAAAGTTGATGAGAGCCAGGGCCGTCGTGAGGATGTTGGTTTGAAGTCGAATTTTGAGAGGATGGTATTCTCAAATTTGAAGACTTCACGATGGTGGTGTTCATAAGCCAAGGTGGAATACAATCACCTTGCATGTATCGCGAAGGGATCGTTGGAAGCGGGGGAGGAGGGGGAACAGGATGGTCTCGCGATATACGCATTCGGAGACGTTTGATTGGCGGTTCGTTAATTGGCTTTGGAGGAGGATTTTTTGAAATCGGTTTACCTCTGAGACTGTGGTCATCGCTAGCTTCGACTTCGTCATCTGGCTTCATGGACCAATCATTCGAAAACAAAGAGAACATGAGCATAACACCTAGAGGCACAAGACGCCCTGCGTTTCATCGCGGATGAGCGACCTATATACAGACTTCTGTACGGCACATTGCTGCATATCCGCAGAAGCCAATCCAGCTTCAAAGTCAACAGGAAAGAGCTCTACTGATTGACTTTGAAAAAGGAAGCTTATCGAGTGAATGCGCCTGGATGCGCGCAATCGAAGAATAACTTACGTTATATGGCGGTATGTGATAGGACATAGGCTTCCGGGCTCTGGCTGACCGCCGAGTTTTTTCTGTTTGCGCCATGGACTAGAACAAATGAGAGTTGCAAGATGAGAGAGATCTTGGGTTAAGATAACATCAACGAGGATTGAAACATAAAGAAATGGAGAAAGAGGCTTGAGAAGTAATGGGGATATGTTGGTATGTAGATGTAACGTCAACTTTACAGTTCAGACCAACCTTGTGGAGCGCGAAGTCGTAGGGAGATGAGTTTACCGAGATTTGGCCTTTGTGGATTGAGATGTCGTAGTCTGAGTCGCTGTCTTCCATAGTGGGCTTGAATCCATTCTGTTTGGTAGGCTGTCTATCATTGCTGCTGAGGTTCAAAGGGTGACAGTACTTGTTGAGGGCCATGGGGATATTGAGCGAGTGTTTGGCACTGGAGTTAAAGCTGGAATGTTGTAGGGTTAGGTAACTAGAGGTCCCAGGTGATGCCCTCATTCAAGGCAGAAATGAAACAAAGGTAACAAAGGTAAAGGAGTTCTGACTTCAGCTTGCCTGATACAATAGTTAGCAATAAACCTGGTGATGTTGTATCCTGGATGATAGAAGGATGTGGATGTGTTGCAAGCAATTAAGGAAGAGTTGAACTTAGAGTAGGCTTTGGATGCAAGGGTGATTGAATGATGTTTAGATGATGGGTGGGAAGAAGATGAGTTGGGTGTCAAGGTCTGAAAATGCAATGATGAGTGAAGTTACCAAAGGCTTGGAGACAAGCTAAAAGCCCTAGCTTCTGGGCTAAATGGAAAGTCCCACTGTATATGCTTATATCAAATTATGCTCATAATGAGACAGGAAACACATAGACCACAAAGACACCTTTATACAGGAGGATGTCCTGACCGTCCTACATCAAGACATTGGCTGGCATCCCAAGTTGGGACATCATTAGGGGCTCTTGAACCTGACCCGGTTTCAAAAAACCCAGTTGACCCAGTTGACTTTTTGGCTGGGAGCTGTCAATAAATGTCAAATTTATATACAAAGTTACTGCCAAAAGTCAACTGGGTCAACTGGGTTTTTGAAAACCGGGTCAGGTTTGAGAGCCCCTATTGAGATGACCCTGAGGTGGGACATCCTCACTTCATCCTTTGGATGCCATGGCAGTGTCCTCAGTCCACGCACATCTTGGAATGCTCCGTGACAGTGTCTGAGGGAAATAATTGATGGACGCCTTGCAGGAGACCGTGTCACAATGTCTCACCCTCTGCAAAAAAGAGGACCTTCTGAAAGCATCCAAGTGTCCTTGTGGTGTACACCACAACTAACCTAACAAAGTCCCTCTTGGCAAGCAAAGAGGGACTTTTGGTTTAACAACAAAATTTGGTGTGTGAGCAAGAAAGTGTTGGCTGGGGAGTTTTTCAACCCACCATAACTTCCTACCATACAAACAACACCGGGAAGGCTATGCAACACCTTGCAACAGCCTCATTCTGCAGAGTGTTGTGGTTCAAAAAAAACATAAAATTTCAAAACCTTGTAGTGCAGCACTTCAAAGAAAAAACTGCTGCACTGACAAGCACTGCCAACATATTGACCTTGGATTGGGAAATCTGAGGCATTCTCGGATCTGAAACCTCAGACAGGAGCTTTGCGAGGTTTTAATCCGAGGTAATCTTTGGCACATAATGATACCTCGGACAGAAACCTCAGATAAGATCTGTCCGAGGATTTGCATCCGACAATACCTGGGATCTCCCAATCCAAGGCATCTATGTTGGTGGTGAAGGACAGTGTTGCTTTACAAGGGCTGCGCAACAGGTGCAACAGATAAGCTTCACACCAAAAAACATTCAATTGTACTCATTGATGAAATAGTATGTAAGTTGATGACGGTTTTGAAATGAAAACATTGACAAACAAATGTAATGAAACCAAAACTAAAATGAAAGGGTCAAAAATTTACATACACAAGAGTAATGAAATTTAGAACAAAAAGAAACAAAGAAAGAAACAGAAAGAAAAATATAATGAAGGAACAGATAGAAAGATGAGCTATCAAATCAAGTCACCTGTAGGCCCATGGATTTGAAAACCTTCGCAAGGTCTTCAAAAGCATGACCTAGCTTGACTTCTTTTCTCAACCAAAGCCGGCTCAATACCAGATTTTTGATAGTCCGGGCAATGATGCTTCCTCAACCACTTGCGCAAATGTTGGATGCGCAGAAGAAGATCCTTTCTTCCCCACATGAGGATCCTGTGGTTGCCAGGTTATTGCTAGCCATAAGCGTGAATGTGCAATAAGTCTTCTCATGTACCTATAATCAAATCAAAATCAGTATCACATATAATTGTCAAAAGCATCAAGGTATTTAAAGAACACTTACCTTCCACCATTGAAGACTAGAATGTGGATCTTGAACATCATATTTGTCTGTCTTCATTTTGTCCATTCCACACAGATGGTTTGCAATGGTAAGTCATCTTCCTTGTACACTTCAGGCTCTTGTTCTGAGTCGCTGCCAAAGATATTGGCCTTGGGGGAAGATGTTGAGGGACCTCTTGAACATCTTGTTGTTTTGGTTTGGGATAAGGTTGGTGTAAATGGCTCAGATCATGGATGGAACCTCTCACATTGGTACAGAACATGAGCACCCTTCTCCAATATTACAGGTATGCAGACCTGAGACTAACCTATCACGTTGGTGCAGAATATAAGCGCCCTTCTCCAATCTTACAGGTATGCAGACCTGAGACTAACCTAAGTTTTACGGAGGTAAAAAGTAAATAAAATGTGAGATGAAGTTGTAAGCTTTATAAAGCTCAAGACACAAGTGATAAGTGATCTAAGGGAATTATCTTTCCAAAAGATGTTCTATTACTAACTAACCTATCACATTGGTGCAGAAAATAAGCACCCTTCTCCAATCTTACAGGTATGCAGACCCAAGACTAACCTGAGCACAAACAAGATAGAAAAGATAAACAAATAAACAAAACAAAGCAAGAGAAATTTTCAAAAGTTAATGTACCAAATTTTTACGGAGGTAAAAAGTAAATGAAATGTGAGATGAAGTTGTAAGCTTTATAAAGCTCAAGACACAAGTAATCTAAGGGAATCTAATAATAGGAAAGTATTAACAAAAGAACAAGTTAATTGGAAGATAACAGAACACTTACTCTCTTTCCAAAAGATAGGGAAGGAGAGTAAGAAAAGGGGACAGAGACACAAAGAGTATATATCTAAACACCAACTACAAAAGACAATTTGAGAAAGATGGTCTGCATAGTTGGCTGGGATTGATCTACATCACAGTAACACACAGTACTGGTTGTCATCTTAGATGAGAAAACAGAAATCAATACCAACACTACAACTTGAACAAAACTCACTACTAACATAAGACCTCAGTCTTGATTGGCTTGCAGGTGAGGAAATTTTGTACTCCCGGTAAAGATGCCAAAAATTGGTTTTGGCGGGCACAAAGACTGCTAAACTTTCACCAAATCATTTTGCAAAAAACTTCAACCAAAAGACCAGATGGAGGATTGTTGCAATCACAAGTGTCTCACATCCAAGCCCCTTGTTAAGATACTTGCTAGTATTTTCCTTCATCTTGGCAATCATCAGGTAGATTATGTTGCTGGTATTGAGGGGATTGATCTTCTTTTCAAGGATGTTACAGAGCTCTGCATATTTCAGGATCACCATACAGCCTGTTGGCCCATCACCCTCCTAATTAGTGTTGTCTTCAGAAATGGCTTCAAACAATCATAAAACAGGAATCAAACATTAATGAATAATCATAATGAATAGGATAGAAAGACATAATAAAGACAAATATCTTACCTCAAGTTCTTTGTTGATTTGACACGCCTGAGCCCATTCAGTTGTTGTCATTTATAGCTTGTGAAAATACCTGTAAGGCTTCTTGTTTTCACATGGGGTTCAATTCTTAGAATGAACTAAGTTTAGATCATTTTGGTATATTTGATTGATTACCTGAAAAACAAAGAACAATCAAAGTGAGCTTGTTTGCTGACCTAAACACAATCAATCAGATGCCTCTCTTCCCAGCCATGATTTATGGCAGAATTGATATTTGATATTCCAACAAATACCACAGCGGGCAATAATTGATCCCTTGAATCCTTTCTGTTCACTTATTTGATTAAACACCTTTTGCCAAGCTGCTGATTGAGTGAACCTATGGGTTATAAAGTCCACCTGCATTGTAAGATCAAAGTAATTAGTCAGGGTATATTGAAGAAGAACTATGTATATGAGAAAGTAAATTACATACCTTTTTCAATACATAGTCCACATTGTTGGCCTCTTGACAGTGGGTTGGTTGGCTTTAATTTTCCTCAATAGTGGTCTCTGGGCGATGTTTTTCCTCAGACTCAGACACATCCCATTCCCCCTTGTCATCAAGCTCATGAACAGGTTATGGGTTGAGAGGGTTGTCCAAATCCTGCAGGTTGTGTTCAATTGGTTCATGTTCATCTTCCAATTCACCTTCTTTTGATCAAGCTCCACTTGGAGGAACTATTGTTGGTTCATGGCATGGTCTACCTCAGCTGGCTCTCCTTCATTGGCAATGCTTTTGATAAGAGGAAAATGCCCTCTGTCAGTTTCTTTCACTTTGAGAGGAGGTGGTGCTTTCACAACAAGAGCTGCCAAACCTGCATTGAAAATGATTGCAAGTTTATGGCAGAAACAAAAGATACGCTTTGAGTCAGGGTTCCAGTTGTATGAGCTGATGTCTTCCTGTTCTGAAAATGGCCTGTGCATCTCCCGGGCCATAGTGTTATTTTTGGAACCAGATTGGTTTTCTGGCAAAGCATGTGGTTAAAAAAATTAGTACATTCAATGTCCAAGATAAAATGTAATATTGTATATACTTATCTTTCTGAAGAGGTCATGTTTGACCAAAAGGTTTACCATTGGCGTGGCAAGCCATTGTCCATGATGGTGGCACTTGAATACTTGAAGTGTCAGATGACAAACATGATGATTCCATTGGTCCTCCACAAATGTTACTGAGGCGCCAATAAAGGCATGTTGATTGCCCTTGCTGGTCTAGCCATCATGCACAAGATTGAATCTTGATTTGAGCGACTGAATACACTTTCATTAGTAATATGGAAAAGATATAATGCAAGAAAGAAAAATTTACAATAAATAAATTTGAGATAAACTTTGAGTACTGAAAAGACGCTTTGCTTGAGAGAGAGGTTGATTTTCTTAGCCTTGTCTGCAGCCCAACAACGCCTGTACAGATAAGCGTCCTTGCAACAAAGGGGACCCTCAATTTGGCTCCATGGATGATCTTGGCAGATCAGCCAAGTACAGGCCATTTGGTTGGGAAGAAGGTTAGAGAAAGACACATTTGGGGTTACAACAACAAAAGTGTTCATTGGACCGTTTGTGGCAAGGGCATTTTGAGTTTCAGAAACTGATTTTGTGACGCAAAGCTCAGGTTCCTGTTCTTGAGCTTTGATACGTCGGGGACAGCCCACAGTGGATTAACCAGCGGTGGTGTTTCCATCTTGGTGAACCCTAAGGTTACTGGTAAGATCTGAGACTTACCCTTACCAATTTGTCTCTGTTTTGTGGACAGAAACGGCATGGGTAAGATAGTGGTGCACAGGATGGATCCTACACCAAAGAAATAGAAAAATACAAGTGAAAAAATGAAAGATATACAAAAGATCAAGTTGAGGGGAATCAGTAATTACATTTCAAGATAGACTTTGATTGAAATAGACTTACATCACCCTTCTTGTAGAAAGGAGTACCCCAAAGTAACTCTTGAGTTGAGTCAACTCACTAGCTTCTGTGCATTCTTGTCTTCTGAATATGCCGTAACATTTCTTGTGTCACATTGTCTGACACATTCTGGAGGAGACATGATTGATTAAAAATAAACAATGTGCAAAAGATAAAGAGTATAAACTGATTTCTTTGTATTTGAAGTGGCCAATGAGTCACATGTTTGTCTTTTAGACTTGTTCTTACTTTTCTTCTTTCTAATATCCACCAGAGGGAATGCCGGGTCAGATTCAGAATTGGGTATCACTGTGGGATTGGGATCCCTTTGCTTCTGCTTGAAATGATGACTTGAACTGGCTACTTGCTTGTTGCCAGATCCTTCAACTTGGTAAGTCTTCTTCTTCTTGTGCTGATTTGGGGACTGGCCATGAGCTAGAATTATACTATCAACAGAGACACCAAGACAACTGTCAGGAGAGAGCGCAATAATGCCTTGTCATGCAGGCTGCCTGCAAGAGCGGGATGGTCATTTGGAGGCGACAGAAGACATTTTGACTGATCTAAGAGTGGGTACTGCTAGTATAGAAATCAAGACAAGATTATGGGAGAATGGGTATGGAGTAGATGGAGAGAGAAATTATATTTGTTAAAAGTTAGAATTGGTGACAACAACAAATAAAGATCAATAAAAAAAGTAAACAGAGTAGAACAAAAGGGGACTTATACCATTTTTGAAGTTCCACAATTGAGTATAGGATGGGTTGTGTGTACCCACAAACATTGACATTGAGTCCAGATTTGTTGATTTGGTGGTTGGATTGGGATGAGGAGGGAAGGTTTGGCAATATTTAGTCTGGTTTGAGAGCCTACATTTTCCCATCTAGTCTCTACTACCTTGTTGGACTACATGGCCACACAACACCCGCAACAGATGTGGTCTGTGGTGCTACAGGAGCTGCTGTGTAGCTCTTGAAAAAAAAATCCAGGGTCTAGGAAGCTATGCAGGGCTTTACAGCCCCAGTGCTGCGCTGCACAGCAGCACTGTGGAGTGTAAAAACCACAATGTGCTGCTGCATAACAGCATGCACCAGTGTTGCTTACCCAATGTTTCTAAAGCAGTCTTGCAACTCACTTTTACAGATCAAATGGTCTTGGGAATGTGTGTACTAGGTGAAAATGTGTTATGAAAGGTCTTAAATGACCAAAATCAAGTTGTAGGCGCTCCATTATGGTGCCTACATATGCAAAGCTTCACAGAGGCGCTGGGATAGGAGCCCAGTTGCTCAAACAGGTATATTTGAGGCTGCAGGCACCATAAATCAGACACCTACTTTGCACATTGGCCAAAGATGGATGATTGCCCTGGAGTTATGGTGTATACATTGTGCAGATAAAATGTAGGCCTTATTTTCTTGGTGCCTACATCTATTTTTGGTAATATAGGTGCCAAAAACCAGTGCCTACACATGCAGGCGCTGTTTTAGCCAGTGCCTACAAGTTTGGATTGCTAATGCCATCTATCAATCCCCTCAAAAAATCCTTCTTGATTGGAAATCTAAATGAAATAAGGTAACAAGAAGAAAAAGTGGTAATTTGGATTAGGAGCAAAACAGGATGATTTCATTTTACCAAAAGAAGGTAAAATAACAAAAATTACACAACCCCAACAATTCATATGGTGAAGTTCATCTTATACAAACAATGTGAATCTTTCAAGGATTGAGCTTTTACAGGTGTGTTTAACTTCTGATCTTCAGTTGATATTCAATACCTTGTTTGGATTGGCAGTTCAAATAATTCATTAACAATGACATGATGTAGTCTTTGAATTCACAATTTGCTTAATTTTGGAATCATACATCTTGAACTTTCAAGTCTTTTCATGGTTGAAGTTGAAAAAAATCTTCTGGAATGAAATTTGTCTAAGGAATCAGTATATCTTTCAGGTGAGGATAGTTTTTTCAAATCATTTAGGTCATTTTGGATCAAAAGTACCTTTGGTTTGTGAAGAAGATGGGTTGGTGTTATGATCTGTAGATTCATATGGAGCTTCAAGAGTGAATCTTGAACGTGTAAGGAGATATTCAACTGATCAACTGATTTGAAGAACTGAAAGATGGATTTACGATTGTGATTGTGGTTCCTTGAAAATATTAATAGATGATGAGTCTCTGAGTGGCTTCATGTGATTTTTCGTACGCGCTGGGTTGATCCTTGGATAGAAGATGATCAAGAGTTTCGATGGATGGATGGATGAATATTGAAATCATGTGTGATCGTCATTTGCATTTCGATTTCTGACTAATAAAGCCAGGTGTTTAAGTTGATCGCTTGGTTTGTTAATGGTGGCTTTGTTTACATTTTAAGTTTTTCACATGATCGATCGAATCGTCATTTTATGAGTGGTGACTATGATTATGTCAGAAATTGGTGTCAAATTAGACTGTATTGATTTATTTCAATTTGAACTTGATGCCAAGAAATCAGGAAGTTTGAAATTGGTTTAAAGGGTCTCAACTACATAACTCAACCAACACGTTAAATCATAAAATAATCAACTTCTCATTCTCATCCCTTTCATCAAACTACAATCTCAACACTTTAAAACCAACCCATCACTTCAAAACCAACCCATCACTCAAACCCAACCAACACTTCAAACCAAACCAAATACTCAAATCAAACTCAACACTCAAATCAAATCCAACACTCAAATCAATCATGGGAGCACAAGAATCTCACTTTTCTCAAGACGGATCCAATTCATCTGCCTTACGTGGTATCAAAGGTTACCACGTCTTAAGAGTAGCAGATTCATCACCAGCATCTGAAGCCGGGATCGAACCTTTCTTTGATTACATTGTAGGAATCGGTGGTCAATCTATCGTAAGTGATCCGAAAATCTCAAACTCATACTCATCAAATCACTTTCTTTTTTCCTTTCTTTGGTTTAATTCAACTTTTTCTTTTTTTTGCTTTTTTTTCCCTTGAATGCTGGTTTGGATTTAGACCGAAGACGGTGATTTACTGACCAATTGGTTAGATCAATCTGAAGGAAAACCAATCGTACTTCAAGTTTATAGTTCTAGACGTCAAGAAGTTAGAAGTAGGTTCTTTTGATTTCTTTTTTCTTATGACACTTTTATTTTATTTTATTTTTTGAAAACAAAACTGATTTCTTGGTTTTCTTTTATTAGATATACGCGCTTTACCCAATCGAAAATGGTCAATGAGTCCAACAAATGATTCAAAACCTTCACTCTTGGGTCTTTCTTTAAGACTATGTAGTCCTGAAAACGCTTTAGAAAATGTAAGTTTGATCTTTATTTAAGCTTTTAAAACCTTAGAATCATCAACTTAGCTTTTGAAACGTTTCTTTTCATTCATCTTAGGTATGGCATATTCTAGATATCATTGAAGGATCTCCTGCTCAAGATGCAGGTAAATGATTTGGATGCCTTTGAAAATGAAGATAAACTTATCACTGATTTAACGCGTTCTTTATTAGGTTTGGTACCTTTTGGTGATTGGGTTATCGGTTATGCTGGTGGGATCTTGAGAGGAGAGAATGATTTTTATAGGGTTGTAGAAGAGGTAAGATAAATTCTGGTTCACTGGTTTACCTTTGAAGTGTTTCCTCACGATTTTCCTTTTTGTTTTGTTCATACGCGTGTTTCTTTGTTTTCAAAAGCATGAAGAAAGACCTCTTCGATTGTTTGTTTATAATGCTGATTATGAGGTCACACGAGAAGTAGTGATCATTCCGAACGTAAGAATCACTTTCTTTTCTGAATTCAAGACTTTAACAAATACGATTGACCAAACTGATTAAAGATTTTCTTTCAACAAACATGACTGAATTTCATATTAGCGCTCATGGGGATCAGGAGAAGGTTTATTAGGATGTTCAATAGGATTCGGATTATTACATCGAATTCCGAAAACGACGACTTCAACCACTGCACCATCTTCATTAATTCCAAATGCACAAGAAATTTATAATTCAACTAATCCAAATCAACATTATTCAAATCGAATGATAGAAGAAGATGAAGATGAAAGGAAACTATTAAAAGAAATCAATAAAACTTCATCTATTAATTTTTCATCACCTATACCTATCATTAATGATCGATCGACTTCTAATTCACCTATTAGAGATTCATCTGTTTCGAATTCGAATTCTCCTTCTTCTCCTTTAACTTCTTTTAATTTAAATCAAGTTAATAAATCAAGTTTTAATGTTCATAATGGAAATGGAAATGGAAATGGGATTTCGTCTTCTTTATCTTCTAACTTTGGGAGAAATTTAGCGGGGTCTGTGATTGAAGAAGAAGAAGATGAAAATTGAAGTTGAGAAATAAGAATGGAAAGTTTTGGTTTCAGAAGAAAGAAAGATCGTGGGAAGCATTTGATGATTATTGGATTGCTGGATTTTTTTCCTTTTTTTTTTGGATTTGGATTTGTATATCATTGATGGATTTTCTATCTCTACTGAACAAGAGAGAAAATAAGTTTTTTTTTCTCTTTTGGTTTGGGTTTCTTTTCTTTGTTCGTTTTTTTCCTTCTTACATCAGTTTTTTTTAACGTTGATTTTTCGAAAAACAACAGATCAGTTTCAAGAGAAGGGACTCAAACCCAACACACCAAAAAAGACAATCTTTGCTACATTTCAATCCAATTTAAATTTGATTTTATATTTCTTTTTTTTTGGTTTTGTATTGATTTTGATTATGATTGTGATTTTTTTTTGGTTATAAGAGATCAACATTTTTCAAAAACCTGAATCTCTTTTTTTTGTAAATATACAACCACTTGTAATTTGTTTTTTTTTGAAAAGTGTTGGTCAGATGATGATGATGAAGTAGTGATGTTGTTGTTTTGTGTTTTCATGTGATTCCAAGGGTTTCTTTTGACTCACTTTGTACATATATATCCCAATTTGATTACATTTGATTTCCAAAGAAAAGGTCTTTTGTTGTAGTACCACCATTCTTTTTGGCAGAACAAACCAAACCAAATCAAACCATCTGGACTTTTTTGGGTTTTAGGTACAGTAAGATGATGGGAAGGTTTTGTGGATTAGATGGTAAACAAGATCTGATTGAAAGAAACTGAAGAAAGCTTTTGATGAGAAGTTGAAGATGAAGTTGAATGAATCGATCGATCATGTGAAAAACATTCATCACCAAGCCAAATCAGCAGGCCAAACCAAGTGATCAACTATGGAACTACAGCCCTTTGCATGATTGATGGCTTTGGAGAAAAAAAAACCTTGAGTTTTCAACAAAAAAAACCTCGAGTTTTTCCAAAAAGTGACCGAGTTTTTTTGAAAACCTACTGAGTTTTTCAAAACCTCATTGACATTTGAAAATTTCAAGAAAAACTCATTGACTTTTTCAAAAACTCGGTAGTTTTTTGAAAAAACTCAGTCACTTTTTAGAAAAACTCAAGGTTTTTTTGTTGAAAACTCGAGGTTTTTTCTTCTTCAAAGTCATCAATCATGCAAAGGGCTGTAACTTTCTGAGTCAGAAATCGATGTGCAAACTGTCAATTGAGCAAATCATTGCAATGCCATCACACATGATTACATTCTAAACTCTTGATCATCATCTTCTATCCCAAGACCAACACAGCACTTACAAAAAAATCACATGATCATGTACAGCCCTTTGCAGAATTGATGACTTTGGAAAATAAAAAACGCTTGAGTTTTCAAAAAAAACCTGCGAGTTTTTTTCAAAAACTGAGTGAGTTTTTCAAAAACTGAGCGAGCTCTTTCTCTTTTAGAATTACTGAGCCAGGTTTCCAAAAAAACTCACTGACTTTTTGAAAAACTCAGCAGCTTTTTGACAAAACTCGGTCACTTTTCAAAAAAACTGGAGGTTTCTTATTTGAAAACTCGAGGTTTTTTTTTCTTCAAAGTCATCAATTATGCAAAAGGCTGTATCATAAAATTCAAAGATTCATCATCTACCAATATTTTCAAGAAATCACAATCAGGATGTAAATCTATCGTTCAGTTCTTCAAATCAGATGATCAGTTGTTCATCTCCTTACACATTCAAGATTCACGCTTGAAGCTTCCATATGAATCTACAGATTATAACACCAACCAATCATCTTCACAAACCAAATGTACTTTTGACCCAAAATGACCCAAATAAATTGTCAAAACTATCCTGAAAGATATACTAATTCCTGAAATAAATTTGATTGCAGAAGATTTTTTGCAACTGCATCTATGAACAGAGTTGGAAGTTCATGATGTATGATTCCAAATTAAGCAAGTTGTGAATTCAAAGACTACATCATGTCATTGTGAATGAATGATTTGAACTTCAAGTTCAAACAAGGTATTGAATATCAACTGAAGATCAGAAGTTAAACACACCTGTAAAAGCCCAATAATTGAAAGATTCACATTGTTAGTACAAGATGAACTTCACCATTTCTTTTGATGAAGGATATAAAATGATGTTTTGAAAATAAATCAGTCCAACAAATCAACTGGACAATGTTGTAGAATATCCCACAGCTATGCGGCACAACTGTGGCCCAGTACCACCCGGATCACTTGACTCACTATATAAAGCACAATAAGCAGCATCAGCTCTTATCTTTCTCTTGTGCAACTTGCAATTCATAGGTATAATCTTCTTGAACTTCAAACTGCTTAATGGTTTCATTCACATAGAACAAAGAATTTCACAAAGTCCAAAAGTTGATTTCTAAATGATTTTTATAGCAACAATTAATTCTGTTGTCTTTGTAGGTCAGAAATTCCATGGCGGGCTTTAGGGTAAAAATGAAGTGATTCCACTGCCCAGGACAACATGCATACAGAAGTGTTAATTTTATAAGCAGGCACTCTACCAACTGAGCTATAGTGCTGACGATGTAATTGCCCCCAACAGAGAATTTGATTTGTACAAATACAGCACGTCTTTAAAAAGTAACAAACCTGCAATGGCATGATGTCAGTTATAGGCTTTCATCATTGGATAAATGATCAAAAGTATGATCAACTATTTCATGAGATATCTTTGAAACATCCTTGTAGCCTTGGGGGATGTTTACAAGTAATTGCATTGGTACAAGTATCAAGTGATTCATTGAACAAGCACACATAAGGATAATTATGGCTGTGATAGTACTACATACATTTGATCCAGAAAGAATATCACATTTTAATCAATAATTATGATTTTTTTTAAAAGGTCATTTCTGAACCTCATATGTTGAAGTGTGTGTGTTGTTATTTTTTTTGGTTAAATCATCCTTGAACCATTCTTCTAGTTTCACATAAGAGAAGTTGATGAAGTATGTTTCCCAACAAAATGGATCTTTGAAGTATGAGCTCATTGGTTTTGAGCATTCAGATCTCAGGTTAAAGAATCTTGGTGGTTCATTTTTTTAATCTATGGTGTGAAATATGTTCTGAAAGCTTGATTGGAACCAATTGGTAAAATCATTGTGACTGTGAGTTTATGAATGTTGATACAAGGAAATCAGGTTTGGAGGTTTTGAAGAATTTTATAGCATGTACAATCTAGTTTCTATTGTGCTTCTGCCATTGATTTTAGTTATATATTTCACAAACTTTACCGGTCTCGCCTGGTCTCGCTGCTTGATATTCATCCGAATTTTATTGCAATCTTAAGATTGCGCAGTTATGTTCTTCTCTGTTCCCCGGGTTCATCTTTTCTGATGACCCTGCTGTGATTCTTGGCACGCGGCTTTCTAGCCGCTAGCAACTGTATTTTTGAAGTCGAATCTCTACCGTCTGGAACACGGCCTTCCGGTATGGGGAAAGTCATGTCTTTATTTACCTTTTTGACGTCATTGAAGGGCTTACTAAACTTTTACCCTTTAGAACTTACAAAAGATGGATTGATGCAGTTTGATGAAGTTTTGGAAGATAGAGCATACTCGTGAGTATCATCTTTGTTTTCAACTTTCTTTCCAAATGGTGCATATGACTACTCTGGCCAGCACGATACAAGATGTAATTGAGATCATAAGAATCGACTGGCTTATCATGAAGGGTTTCTTTGATACATGATACACTTGTGACACTTAAGACGATATGACGTCAATGTTTGATTTCGTATTTAAAGCTTTTGTTTTCTCTTTACCTTTAGCTTTTTCTCTTATCGAACGCAAACATTTTATTCGGACAATCTTCCTTCTTTACCAGATTGTCCTCCTCTTTTGTTCGATCAGTGCTCAGCTTCTAATAAGCTGATTACCTGAATCTCACAGGTCAATACCATTTTAAGTGATGTAAGGATAAAAATTGTAAAAAACATACACTTGGCCTTCGGAGTTGTACCTTCAAGATGCCAGATGGCCGCAATTAAATCTCACTGGAGTAGTCATGTTCACAGTTATAAACCTTCACATATCTGTTGCCAAGTAGAGTGCGATCGTTTTTGTTGTCATATGGGAACAGCCTCAAGAATCAATCAAGAATCGTCTTTTGGTTATCCTGAGTAATGTTCAGACTTCAGCAACCAGAAGTGGCGATATGGAGAAAGGCAGCTGCAACGAATGTAGCACCTGTGTGACAGATCTATGAGGGATTTTGGGGAATTCATATGGCGAATCCGAACGTGAAGAGAGCGCCAAAATTATGTGAGGTTCATCATTTGCTCCCTTGAATGCATAGCATTATATAGAGCTGGTCGCGAGGTGATTTTGAATTGAGGCATTGTTGGCAGTGCCTCTCCTTTGAAATTCGATGTCACTATTGTCCAACAGGTCTCTAGGTAGGGTTGACGACTGCAAAGCTTGGTGAGTGCATAATTGGGTGTTAGCGACGTTGATCAGATGTTGTAAATTTGTTCGACTATGATAACATCATGCAAAATCAAATGTCATATCATCGAAAAGAAATAGGTTAATGCCTCAAAATATATTATGACACATCTTTCATGGTACTAGTCACAGTGGCTGGGTTGATGCGGAGTTACTCCAAGGAAGTGGATAACAGCGAGATGAACAAGAAATTCTTCATCGAGTTACTTCATCGACATTTCTCTTCATCCCTTTTCAACCGATGCTTCTCGACCGTGCAAGTCGAACCCCTTCAGACACCAGAGTCTCAATGAGGCATTCGAGCTCTGAGGCGTATCTGACTTCCTATACGCAATCAATACCACCCTTTGGTATTTGACTTTTGGTGATCTAGTCTTACCTGACCATCTTTTGCTGTGAGTAAGATACATATCTGTTCATAGGATTATTGCACTTCTTACCGTGTGACTTCAAACTCCCAAACCGTTGCTTCAGGAGATCTTGTACATCTTGTGTCTATTTTTACTTCGCCCAAAAAGATATCATCTCCCACAGGTTTGACAAGATGGGGAGCAACAAAAGTCGATATGGTTATAAGGCTGTTAAGAACAAAGATAGCATACCAAATCGCCCTTCTCTTTATCATATAATGTCAGCGAATAAATGTCAGGAGTCCAGCTTAATAATCCACCTACCATCATCAATGGCTTCGATTACTTTCAATCAACAAAGAAGATTCAAAATCTGGCGTTTTTGGTTTGGGGCTGCTTTACTATTCACTGCCTGCTGGATCTTCTTGGTTGAAATCTTGAGGGATGAAAACGGTGACGGATTATCAATTACACCCAAACCATCCTCAATCTACAAGATATCAGACACATATCCTAACCCACTTGATCATAATAATTGGCGAATGTTAATAGCTGTCGATCCTACTGCTTCCAAACCGTCACCAGAATACCATCAATCAACCCGCACTCAGAAAATCTTTTCATATCTATCTTCCTACCAGACTCAGGCTGAGAAGTGCCGGGACTTGTGGATTTCTGAACAAACGTTATGCACCGATGAGCAATTTCGTAGTGCTGTGATAGCGAGTCAATCATCACCAAGTTTAGACGTTGTTTGGACATGGGTCAATGGGTCTGATCCAGTATTTTCAAAGGTTCAAAAGACTCATGAAAGGCTACGCGATTCAAACCGATCCGCAAGCGCTTCAACCAAAGAGAAGGAGACGGTCTTCCAAGTTGGGACTGATGCAACTCATTTTGCTGATCATGACGAACTCCGTTATTCACTCAGAAGTGCACTAGGAACCTTGAAATCCATTCGAACCTTCAATATCTTTACGGTCGACTTTTCGAGTGCCGATCTTCGGCTTGCAGAGGTTGATATCGGCCCTTCACAACCTTCGGAAAGCTCCAATCGTTGGGGAAGCGTACCTAGCTGGTTAAATCAGACTGCCTTGGATGGAACTCCCAACCCCACCATCGATCAACCGCCCATTCGAGTTATTCATCACTCAGAAGCTCAAAATGAGAAATTTGCAGACTCGCCGCTCAGCTTTAGCAGGTATGGTTGACGATATCGATAGTTTGTCTGATATTAGAAAATGTGCGTGCTCATACTTGTTGCTTATTCTGATCACCCACAGCCTGGCTATTGAATCGCGGATCCCCAGGCTGAATGTTTTGCGTGACAACGTACTATATGCTAACGATGACTGCTTTCTACTACGTGTAAGCAAATCCTCTCACCTCACCTGACGCGTTCCCCTAAGATTGACAAGCCCATGCTTTATGTGGTCTGTTTTCCAAAATCACGACATTGGCTCGCGAATTGCCATTCATCTATCTTTCTTTCGTACGCTCGGGATTTGCTTTGATCATCTTACGATGGTGTAAATTGTGGACCAAATCATCAGAAATTAGAGACCAGTGACCTGGAGACTATACTCACTGGACCAATATTACATATCCAAATGTCATTGTCTGTGACGTCTCACAATCCATGGCTGCTTTCAAACAGCAAACCGGAGGAGGTTGGCGAAGAGTGGGTGGCCCTGAAATACAGTGCGTGTCTCTGTATACGTTAGCTTTTTCCATTCTTCAGCCTCAGGCGTCAAAGCTTACAACAGATTGAACTCGGTTCTGGGTGCCTCTGTAGGCAATTGGTTGCTAGATGCTCGCTTCGGTGCTAGAGATCGCTGTTATCTTGGCCACTATGCTCGCATGCTGTCAATACCTATATCTCGAGAACTATCTCTAGTTTGGGAGAAAGAGTTCATTCAGGTAAGCTGTTTCACTCGCCGTTCATGGCTACTGTTTGTGCTGACGAACTTGCCATTCATCTCAAAGACGGATCAAGCAAAGTTTCGAGCACTCGGTCCGGAGGTTTACTTATTTTACCTTCACGCATGGTATACGATCGAAAAACATCGAGAGTCACTGTGAGTTCTGGGCACTTGCCTTTATGCTATCTTAAACAAACACTCACCTCATTTTCCCTCTTTTGTACTTCCCCAAACGCAGCTTGTACTCCTTTGTGATGCTGAAGACTGACTCCAATGTTGATGGAATCATAAATCAAGAAGAGTACGACAAGATGCTACATCACCTCAGCATTGAAGGATCTCAGACAGTCATCAAGACCGCTGCCAAAGCCAATTCGAGTTCTGTACCCAAAGTATTTGACGCCCTAGATCAACTTCACATTCCTCTTCCGCTTGAGACAGAGTACCACTGGACAGCTTCGGATGGCTACGCATTATCATTCAACAAGTCTTGTGAAATCTCAATAGATGAGTGCCTGGAATACAAACCAGATACTCCATCTGTTGAATTATTCCGTCGGATAGCTTTTGAAAAGGTCCAATGTGGTGACTGCCTGATTCAATATCTGATTGATCAAAATGGCCTCAACGCCTTACTTCCTCCTGTCGAACCGGAATTCTTTAATGCTAAACTATCACCTCCTTGGAGTCATACCGATCTCAATGGTCCCGAGTCAGACTGGCGAAACGGTTCTTTCAAAGTGAATTTAACAATGGTCCAGAAGATTGGAAAGCGGAAGATGGCACTCAGACAGTTGGAACGATATAACTACGTAATCGGTATGTACTTTCTCTTGCTCCTTTTATACTTATAAACTTTGACAAATCTCTATACATATAGGAAGTTCCAATAGCACCTTCGCCACTATCCGTAGACCTGGCGATGTTCACGTACAACTTAGCCCCCTACAAAACGAGTCACATCCAGCCACTTACTTGGCTATCAATGATCAAGTCAGAGCGCCACGATTCCTCTTCCCTGTTCAAAATCTCCTTCACAACTTTTTCAAGAACAGATTTTCAGATTCGATAGGTTGGTGGGAAAAATCAGGTTAAGTTGTGCTTTAGTGACTCTTGGTGGTATACTTGGTTTACTTTGGAAGGATTTGATAGAAAACTAAATTGTATTTATGAGCCAGAGGTTCTTTGTCGTGGTGTTTTAGAGTATCTACTCAAATTTTGGACATTGAAATGTAAAACATATATTTATAGTGTGGTGATGACATAACAAAAACTCAAAGTGTATCAGATCTTGAAGTTTATATTTTCACCTTTTCAACTGTTATATTTATTGTAGTGTGGTGTTTTTACATGTATATTGATCAGAATCATATTACTGCATATCATCAACAAAACCATTTCCTCTTTGATTTAGATTTGTCATGAGTGATACAATGTTCATTGCCAGAGAACAATGTGCAATACAAAAAGGGGTAGGAGAATTTTACACCGACTCTTTCGGTGTAAAAACAATCCGGTGTAAAATTCGAGAAAAGGGGGGGTATTTTCGAATTTTACACGTGTTTCAATTTTTTTTCAACTGTGTAAAAAAAACAGTGTAAAAAAAACAGTGTAAAACTCTTCTGCCCGGCCGTGATTTTTAATTTTACACTGGAAAATTTACACCGGAAAATGCTGTGCAAAAAAAAACAGTGTAAAAGTCTTGTGCCCGGGCCAAAGTTGAAATTTACACCGGATTTCTTACACCGAAGCGGGGCAAACGGGTAATTTTACACCGGATTCTTTACACCGAATCACACTCCACTGTTCGATTCCCCCATTTGCCACATCCACTTCTCAACACTGACGGCCTTTTGTTCCGTCCTTGACCTTTTCTCACCACTCATAGCCGACTTGAAAGTACTGGTAGTTTGTTCCGCGATTAAAAGTTTTCCTGCTGGCACTCTTATCATGACCTACGCCAGACTATGATGTTTGAACCTCAACAACAAGACAGAAAGAAGAAAGACGTAGGGAAAGATCATAGAGTGTATATGATTTTAAAACAGCTAAACGATTCCCCTTTCGAGGCATGCAAGTCTTTCCTAAACCCAGCAAAGGTATCACTAAATTTCACATGAAATTATGAGATTTGGAAACTTTAACAACTGATGAAAGTTTAATCAAAGGAACAGAAATCAATACAATGTGACTCATGATCTTTCCTGCTAAATAATTACCATTACCAAGTCAAATAGGTGAAGGTGATAGAGCAGGTGGGATTCCCGCTGTACTGCCTTCACGTAACTTGAACATATGCTTCTTCCGAATGAGTGGTTTCTGAATTGATATGAACTACATTCACTGTCCGTGGTGGACATGGTGGGCCCGATGATGCGACGGAAGTAGGAGTGACAGGAACTATAGAATTGTAGAACCACGGAAACGACAAGGAGCAAAACTCCCGAGTACTGCTGGATCATCAATGGTCAAATCAAGGTCAAGAAGGTACAACTGTCTCTCCGGTAAGATCATAAGCATAAGCAAGAAAGATGAAAGAAATAACAAGATACAGTTTCATTAGATTCTTCTCTGGGTGATGATGCAGAGTGACCGTTCTAGCACGATCGGTTAATCTCTTTCTCAACAAACAATGCAGCACGGCGCATGCCACCAGGGCTTGCTTTTAGGACTCAAATCATTCTGATAGTTTGCTGCAATAATCAAGCAAACCAAAAAGACGTGGTGGCAAACAGTTCCAACCTTTGGCAATCCTTGGTAACTTGGCCCTCAATCTTAGAAGATAAACGATCAGCTCAGTAACACAGCAGCTTAAACATGAGTTTTTTTAGAAACTGATTAAATACAGCCTCCAATTATGGTAATTGCAAAATCGCTTCCTGGTGTAGAAAGGGGTCTTAAATCTGAGCAGTTTGTGTGCTTTTGAGTTGATCGGCTATGAGTGGTGAGAAAAGGTCAAGGACGGAACAAAAGGCCGTCAGTGTTGAGAAGTGGATGTGTCGAATGGGGGAATCGAACAGTGGAGTGTGATTCGGTGTAAAGAATCCGGTGTAAAATTACCCGTTTGCCCCGCTTCGGTGTAAGAAATCCGGTGTAAATTTCAACTTTGGCCCGGGCACAAGACTTTTACACTGTTTTTTTTTGCACAGCATTTTCCGGTGTAAATTTTCCAGTGTAAAATTAAAAATCACGGCCAGGCAGAAGAGTTTTACACTGTTTTTTTTTACACAGTTGAAAAAAAATTGAAACACGTGTAAAATTCGAAAATACCCCCCCTTTTCTCGAATTTTACACCGGATTGTTTTTACACCGAAAGAGTCGGTGTAAATGACTCGGTGTAAAATTCCCCCTCCCCATACAAAAAGACGTGAGCTATGAGTGAGATATCTGATCCTTGATATCTTCTCAAAGATATTTCATGAAATTGGGCTTAGAGATGAAGAAAAACTAGAGAAAAAGATGTTGTACATACTTTATACCTTTTGAACACTACTACATGGGACCTAACTCACCTGTGTGTACAAATGCTACCTGTGATTCAGTAATCTCCAAGGGCCAGAACCCTCAAGGAATTGAGTGGCCAAGCATTGTGTCATCATCTGGTTTCACAAAAGTATTTAAACTATTCTGGGAATGAAATTAGAAAGGAGAAAAGCTTATGTGTAAGTGCAGCCACAATAGATCTTGGACTCCACCTTATCACACAAAACATGTCATTCAAACTTAAGATCCTTGCAGTCTCTCAGATGAGGCTCACGGGGAAGAGTTTCACTATTTCAAGGATGTAAAATTCCAATATTATAGAATGATTCTAACTGATAAATAAGATATGTAAGATATACAAAATAAGAGCCAATGAACATGATCACAAGTAACACTGAATTTTATCCAAAGACTACAATTTCATTACCCTGTGATAATGATATACCTTTGAAACTACCTGAGATTGAATTTGAATAACAACTAGATAAGAGGATATATCATAATTTTATACTGATTGGTGGGACATTGTTGACAAAGGGGACATGAGAAATAAGGTATGAATCCAGCATATTCAGTAAAACAAGCTTCATGAAGTGTATGTTCAGGCCAACAATGGAAGTGAATAAAACAGTCTCCAATATTTAAAGGTTCTGCACAGACAGGACCACAGTGGATAGGACATTTGTCGTGTTGAGATGAATTGAAAGTTTGGGGATCTACATTTTCCCAGCCAACTATCTTCATATGTAATACCCCCCACCCACTTCTTTGGTGTTGGATTCCAGATTTGGATGACCAAATGCAGGGTCTAGTTTTTGGTTAGGGTATGCAACCCTGAGCCAGCTACGCTACGTAGCGTTAACCGATGATATTTTGTAACGCTGCTCCGTTACACGTATCAAAAGGCCGTTACACGTGTAACGTAACACCGGATACAAGCAACACATTTTCCTGCCTATACGAAGCTCAGCTCCTCACCGTCACGCCACAGCAACGCAGCAGGAGCTACTGCACTGTACGTAGCACCCGCTAACTCGCGTTAACGAGGCGCAACGCAGCAGAGCTACCGCGCCAAAAAAGGCCAGTAGCACATATATAAAAAAACATAACTAGATATTAATGATTGGATTGTTTGTAATAGGAAACAAGGATACTTCATCATAAGAAACCGAGCGAATAAAGTGGCATAGCATAGTATGTATTTAAAGTAAAGTGAAAAGGATGGCATAGAGTATAGTAAATAGTGAATCAACAAGAAAGTTTCTCATCTCAATCCAGGGTTACACCTAATAATTTGAAAAGTGCAGCCAGTTCAGCAAACTCAACCCCAAGGCCAACACCTTCTCTTAACCATAGCCGGCTCGAGACAAGAGCCTCAATAGTACGTGCAAGGAGACTGCCTCGATCACTGGCACAGACATCAGCTGCGCATGAGAAGATACGCTCGGCAGCGCATGAAGAGCCAGTGGTTGCCAAGTAATCGTGTGCCATTATCGCAAGGATCCGGTAATCCTTTTCATGGCGCTGAGCGAGCAAAGCAAAGTTAGTAAGTATACATAGGTGAAGCCATAAGCTGAATCAATCTAAGAAAGATTCTTACCGACCACCATTCAAGACCAGCCTTGGGGTCCACCAAATCATATTCATTACTGCGCATCTTATCTGACATCCGTAAGTAGTTCTCCAAAGAATTATCAATTATATCTTCTTGTTCTTCATCTGTTTCAGTGTCATCGTGAAACATCTTTGGTCGGGCTGCAGACGGATTGGAACTTGTAGAAGTTGCTTGAGTTGCCGATTGTTGAGAAGGTGAAGTTGATTCATATACAGAATAAATTCGACACAACATTTCTTCAGCTTTCATAGGTATTGATGCAGTCTTACCCCCGAACCACTTAATGAAGAACTTGTGTCAAAACAGTGGATGCAACAAGGTCGCCATAACAAGGGTTTCGCAGCCTAAGGCCTCGTCGAGGTATTCCTGAGTTTTTGCTAGCATCTTGGCTAGCATGGGGTAAACCGCATCTGAAGTACTTATCCTATCAACCTTCTCTTGCAGCTTATGTCGAAGCTCAACATATTCGGGGATCACCATACAACCAGTAGGCCCGTCGCCTTCCATCTTGAGGGTTGTAGCAAGAAATATCTATACAAAATTATAAACAAGATTAAAATTATTGTATCATTATTGTAAGAACCAGGTAGAAAACGATGAGACTGACCTCCAACTCATCATTAATCCTTCGAACCTGAGCCCACTCGGATGTGGTGATCTCAAGTTGATGGAAGTACCCATAGGGTTTCCCGTTCTTACGTGGGCGCCGGCCCACCGCGAGAACACAATCAATATCCTCCTTACACAACTGGTCGATTACCTGTGGATGTTTCAGACAGTTATTCAGCGTTACACACATGTAATGAATGATAAACAATATAAACGTAACTTACACTTCGTGCCAACCAAGCCTTGTGTCTACTTTCATATTTTATATTCCACCTGATACCATATCCAGCAATAAGGGATCCAGTGAACCCTTTCTTTTCACTCACACGCGCGAATTCCTTGCGCCAGGCCGCAGAGCGAGTGATTCGACGCACAATAAAGTCGACCT